TTATAGTAAAAAACCTCATCTTGATCAACATTTTTTCTGTCAAATTTTCCGGATATGATATCATGGGATGAATTGCAAAGTAGTTTCTCTTTGTATTTTACTCCAAAAATTCATCTGATGACATTATACCCGGAAATTTGACAGTGAAAAAATTGATCAAGATGAGGTCTTTTAATATAAAGATAATTATATTACATTTCTTCTTAGAATGAGCTAAGTATTACACACACCAAAAGTCCTATGGGATTTGGGATTAGTGTCACATGAAAATAGCGTGACAATGCAGTTGTGATAGCTTCATCACTGACACAAAAATGTAACTTGTGGAAATTTAACTTGTGGACCTTTATTCATGCACATAAAGGATATGTTTACATTCTAGCAAAATTTCTCGTACATTTTTAAGCCTGATCTATGTGAGTCACTGGATTTATCTGCAATTCCACACGCGTAAAAATCTCCCAACTTGTAAACAAAATGTGTTCGCACTGCTTGTTCCCAGTTGTTGACAAGTCTGGAACAAATTGTTATCATCACATTGTAACAAGGTTGATGAGGCCAACAGACTCGCAACAAGTTGTTCCAACAAGCCTGTTATCGTCTGCACGAACAAGTTGTGTTCGTACTGCTTGTTCCCAGTTGTTGACAAGTCTGGGACAAATCGTTATCATCTTGTAACAAGGTTGATGAGGCCAACAGACTTGCAACAAGTTGTTCCAACAAGTCTGATATGGTTGATGACAAATCTGATATGGTTGATGACAAGAAGCTCGTAGCAACTCGTTACGAACAGCCTGTATTAGTCTTGTTGGAAGAACTTGTAGCAAGTCTTTTGCTGTCATCAACCTTGTAACAAGGTGATAACAACTTGTTCCAGACTTGTCACAACAACTGGGAACAAGCAGTGCGAACACATCCTCATATCGGCTTCACAACAACATTGTTACAACTTTTTTCTGTGTTGGTGTTGTGTACTCAGGTGAATATGATATTTGTGATGTTACTCTGAGTGTATATCCACACCGGGCGAGCTTGAAAATAGTAACATCACAAATATCATATTCACCTGAGTACACAACACCAACACAGAAAAAAAAACATTACTAGATTACATTGGTATCGAAGGAACTAGATTCTGTTCCGAAATATCACTTACTCGAACTGTCCTGACCGCGTAGCTCAGTTGGAAGAGCATTGGGCTAGTATTTCAAAGGTCGTAGGTTCGAATCCCACCGTGGCCAGGTATATTTTTCAAGCTCGCCCGGTGTGGATATACACTCAGAGTAACATCACAAATATTGTTACAACTTGTTGACAAGCTTGCTACAAGCCTGTTGCATGCAAACACATCTTGTTGACAAGTTGTGAGATTTTTACGTGTGTACTCTAAACCATAGAAAGAATGGAAAATCTTGAAAGTACCAGCTAACTGTGCAAAGTATACTTGTTAATGAATATTGTAGTGTCACCTTTTTATCCGCAAATTATGTTAGCACTTTATGAGAGACGTATGTTTTATCTTTCGTGCGCATGGCGGCAAGACCGAACTCTTTCGAGTTTGTCAACAAGATGTGTTCGCAACAGGCTTGTAGCAAGCTTGTCAACAAGTTGTAACAATGCTGTTGTTTTATCAAGTTGCTACAAGGTTGTCACTCACAACTTGTTGACAAGTTGTTTGTAACAGGGCCTCTTTTAACATATAGACTGGGGGGGCGTGCCTCCTCCCCCCAATGCAAGGTCCCTAAAAACTACTTGCAGTAGGTGGTCAACCAGCAATTATATATCAAAGTAAGAAAATGCCATTTTCATTACCGCGTCCGATCATCACACCATGGGACTGGATTTCATTTGGGAGACTGTAAAATTGCAGTAATTGTGTCACTGTTTACAAGGTTAATTTCTTTTTGGAACACTCCTCAAAATGCTGTAAATAGCTTATCTGTGCTTCAGGAAATCCAAGATTTTCTGCGGAGGGGGGGGGGGGATGCCCCCAGACCCCTCTAGACGAATCGACTCGGTTGTCTCAGAATCCTAGCCTGACGGGCCTGATCTGCTGCCCTATGACGTACACTTATTAGTTGACCCTGCATATATATGCTGGTTGCTGCAGTGATACAGACTTGCCGACTGGAACTTCTCCAGGTCCTCCGCTAAATATGTCCCATCCTTAAAACAGGCCCTGACTTGTAACAAGTTTGTTGAGCTCAACAACCTTGTAGCCAGCTTGTCAACAAGTTGTAACAATAACAATTCTGTTATTTCATCAAGTTGCTACAAAACTTGTCAACAAGCTGGGAACAAGCAGTGCGAACACATCCTGTTGACAAGTTGTTGGAACATGTATATGAGCGTGCTTATATGAGACACCAAAATAAGGGATTCTCATAAGCACGCTAAGACAAGCATACTGAGCGTGCTTATGCATGAGACACCAAAATACGGGATTCTCATAAGCACGCTAAAACAAGCAGTATATGAACGTGCTTTTGAGACACCAAAATAAGGGATTCTCATAAGCACGCTAAAATAAGCAGTATATGATCGTGCTTATGAGACACCAAAATAAGGGATTCTCATAAGCACGCTAAAACAAGCAGTATATGAACGTGCTTTTGAGACACCAAAATAAGGGATTCTCATAAGCACGCTAAAATAAGCAGTATATGATCGTGCTTATGAGACACCAAAATAAGGGATTCTCATAAGCACGCTAAAACAAGCAGTATATGAACGTGCTTTTGAGACACCAAAATAAGGGATTCTCATAAGCACGCTAAAATAAGCAGTATATGATCGTGCTTATGAGACACCAAAATAAGGGATTCTCATAAGCACGCTAAAACAAGCAGTATATGAACGTGCTTTTGAGACACCAAAATAAGGGATTCTCATAAGCACGCTAAAATAAGCAGTATATGATCGTGCTTATGAGACACCAAAATAAGGGATTCTCATAAGCACGCTAAAACAAGCAGTATATGAACGTGCTTTTGAGACACCAAAATAAGGGATTCTCATAAGCACGCTAAAATAAGCAGTATATGATCGTGCTTATGAGACACCAAAATACGGCATTCTCATAAGCACGCTAAAACAAGCAGTATATGAGTGTGCTTATGAGACACAAAAAAAAGGCATTCTCATAAGCACGCTAAAACAAGCAGTATATGAGCGTATATGAGTATGAGACACCAAAATAAGGGATTCTTATAAGTACGCTACTAGCATACTGAGCGTGCTCATTAGACACCAAAATGAAGGATTCTCATAAGCACGCTAAAACAAGCATATATGAGCGTGCTTTATGAGACACCAAAATAAGGGATTCTCATAAAGCACGCTAAAACATGCTGGCATACTGAGCATGCTCATGAGACACCAGATTTCAGTATACTTTTTAGCCACGGCGGTCGGCAGGTTGGGCGGTCGGTGGCTATAAAGATGCCGGAATATTTAATTAGAAAAGTGCGGTTATTTGAAAAAAGACGCAGTCCAGTTATCTTGGTATCATCAAGAGATCAGTGTTCTGAATCCCAAAACACCTTGCGGTCATTTTTGGCGGTCAAAAATTTCTCGAAGAAGAAACGTGGCCGAGTGATACTTGATGTAATAAATCATGAAGAGTTATTCCTTCGCCTTTCTCACGAGGTAGGCTGCACTTTACTTCAGCAAAATGTAGTTTTATGTCTGTACCTTTACAAAATCTCGTTTTGTACTTCGGATTTTTCTCAAAGGTAACAAAAAGATGATAGTCGTTTGAGGTCAATAGACCACGCCGTTTGCGGATTGCATTTTACCATTTTTGCGATTTGAAGATTTTGCATGCTCTAGGCATGTTTGTGTTGGGAACTTGGGAGCTTTCGTCAAGCGTAGAATATTAGTATTCGTTTGTGAAGCCGTTTAGGGTTGTTTCAAGCTTCAATTTAAGTTTTTGATTGGGTTCCACAGGCTTTTATTTAGCATTACTTTGCAAGCGGTGATGGTGAAATTATAATATCAATTCACTACATATATATGTAGTGCTTGGTCTTTTATTTGTGGGCAAAAAAACTGAATTGAGAGATCTGGCTCAATTTGATTGCCTGTTAATAAGCCCGGCACACGCTTGAGCAAAATTTTGCTTGTATAGTTAGAAGCAAAATTCCCCCAGTGCACGATGGCTGGCGTTTTGAGAATTTTTTTACACATGTCATCGCACCCAACGTGCAACATTTTGAATAATTTTTGGCATGAATGATGATTTCTTCCAAGCGCGCATGCAGGAAAAGCAGTCGGCTTACAGTGTTTGGCCTAAAAAAACCCTGTTGTTCCGGTTCCAGACCGACCCTATTTTTTCTGCCGACCCTATTATTTTTTCAATGCAATTGACCGTGTGACTCTTAATTTTCTCCAGGTGGTTGCGGGCTGCTCGTACAGCGTGCCAAAATGGTGTCTGTTGTCACACTAATTATTGAACCAAATTGCTAAAATTCGTCCATAGGAAATACACATCTCTAGTTAATATTGATGTCGGGACTCAACTGCAAATCACCCAGCAAAAAAATGCCAAAACCATGAAAAAAATATTCAAAAAAAATTTATTTCCGACCTAGGCGTAAAAAAAAATTACCTGTGGTTCCGGTTCTCGACCGACCCTATTTTTTTTCTGCCGACCCTATTATTTTTTCAACGCGATTGACCGTGCGACCCTATTTTCTCCAGGTGGTTGCGGGCTGCTCATACAGCGTGCCAAAATGGCATCTGTTGTCACAATAATTATTGAACCAAATTGCCTAAATTCGTCCATAGGGAATACGCATCTCTAGTTAACATTGATGTCGGGACTCTACTGCAAATCGCCAAGCAAAAAAAACGGCAAAACCATGAAAAAAAATATTCAAAAAAAAATTTATTTCCGACCTACCGACCCTAATTTTTTCACGATATGAAACTGGAACCACAGGTATTTTTTTAAGGCCTTATGCAATTAAATCTCCGGCATGAATCGGACATGCAATTCTGATGCAAATCTGAACTTCTGATGCAATGCTGACCCTGTAGATTTTATTTTTGTGGAGGTAGCCAATCTTCAAATGGAGCTAGGCTAATGCCACATTCTTGTACCCAGAGCCTGTCTTACACACACACTGTCAACAGAGCATGGCAAGGGTTGAGGGGAATGAGAATGGGTCTGAACGAGAACAAAATGGGTTGTTCCAGAAAAGATCCACACTCCCCCCACGGAGGAAATTTCTGCCGTCCGGAGGGGGAGGGGAGAAAAAATTGTTTCTGATAATACTAAATGTATTAGGACATCTGTGGGGGGTAGGGGGGTTAATTTCCAATTTCCTCCGTGGGGGTGGTATGGATGTTTTCTGGAATGACCCAATGCCAAGTGCGCCAGTAGAAAACTAGCTCCTCGTGATTTTTGGAGTTAGCATTGCTCCATAACTTTCCGCTGAAAAGGCTGAGGGTCTGAAAAGGGTCTTCGCTACTACCCACCATTGATATTTTAGCCAGTTCGGTGAAACTTTGAGGTTAGTAATATATTGATTTTTATCTAGGATATTTGTTTCAATTGTTTTGCTTGGTATATGTTCTGCCATCTACATCAACGAAGAAGCGAATGATGTCGTCCAAGCAATACTCAAACATTTTGATGAAAACCCACAAGACGCGAGATTCGAACAAGTCATCTTCATCCCTTCGGATAAATGTCATCTATTTCCAAAGGTATGTAACGGGCAGATCTAGTCTCATCTGCAAGGAGGGGTGCAGGTTTTCCATGGGGTGGTACATGAGGGACTCTTACTGCCCACTCTCCTCTGCTGTTCAAACACTTCTATCCCAACATCACCATTATTTGAGATGGCAGAATCTGCATGGTCGCCATTCTGTTACATTTTACATTATCTTTTGTTTATAGAGTTTATGTCAGTTTTTTTATCACATATGTGTGACTGGAGAGTTGCTGTAACAGTAAATGTGCTTCTTAAAGTACAGTATATTTGAAAATATGACCATATAACAATCTCAACATGTTTACATAATTATTTTACCATGTTATTTAAAAAGCCCATTCTGAGGACTTTCTTGTGAGCATGCAGCTCGCAAATCAATTAAAT